CCCGAGGCGCCCCGGGCGGCCCCAGGAGGCGACCAAAACGCTCGAGGGCACCCCCGAAGCCTCAAGGGGGCTCCCACGAGGCTCCGACGAGCCCCCAGGAGGCGCCCACGCAACTCCCAAGAGGCTCCCCAAATAAGACCAAGAGGCCCCCAAGAGGCAGGTCCCCAGCACTGCCCAAGAGAGGGCTCCAAGGGAACCAATCGAGAGGCCAAAATCATTGTGAACACTTCAAGGACACTCAGTGATCCTTGCCTTTCCGTTTTTTCGCCTCCGATACGATGCCGAGGCTGTCGCATGGTCTTCGCGAGGACCTCAAGATGGCAAAACGCCCGAAGATGCACCCACGAAATCCCAAAGAGGCTCCGACAATCCCCCAGGAGGCGCCCACGAAACTTCCAGCAGGCTCCCAAAAACCCCAAGAGGTCCTCGAGAGCCCAAAGAGGCCCCCAAGATGCCTCCCAAACCCGAAGAGGAGCCACCAAGAAGTGCCAAGATGACGCTTCCAAAAGGCCCCCAGGAGTCTCCCACGGGACATTCTCAGGTGGCCGATGAGGAGCAGAGCGGGAGCAGTGGGATGGCGGCATAGGAGGACGATGAGGAAGAGAAGGAAGACGGAGAGGTCGAACGAGGAGGTGAACGCAGAGGGTGCGGCTCCTTTCTCCTCATCGTTTCCTTTTTTCTCATCCCTCTCTCCTCCTCCCTCTTGCCCGATGCGATATGAGAGCCGTGCATCCATGAAGGACGCGTGGGCAGAGAGCGCGGTTAAAAAGTCGTCAGGGCTGCGTCTGGCGCGCCAAGTACGGGGAGGGGGGAGATAAGGGAGAGAAAGTGAGGAGGGGAGAGGGTGGACACAAAAAGCTTCACGCACTCACATGATCCAGCTTGTACACGGATTGTGCCCATGGATGCTTGGGGCTACTTACGCGCCGTCGGTAGGCCCAATTCTTGGGCGTGCCATCGCCGTTGCACACCACTCTTTTTACCAAGGAGTTGTTTTGTTGAGAAGCGATTTCTTTGTGCATAGTTCCACTTGGTGGTCACATTACATAGAAGAGAGCGTTTCCCCCCTCCTCCCTCCTCATATCCTCATCTCGCCTTCACTCCCCACTCCGCATTTTTCCAACCCCGCCTCCTGATCGCTCCTTCACTCCATCTCCCCTCTCCCCTTCCCTGTCTCCCCTCCCCCGCCCCCCTCGCCCCGCCTCCCGCACCACTCATGGAAGGGGCCAACCTTGCCCAGGCGACACCAGCTCATCCGCGGATTGGCCTCTCGTCGCCGCCGTTCTGCACTCCCCCTTCCCTCTCTCTCTCCTCCTCCTCCTCCTCCTCCTCCTCCTCCTCCTCCTCCTCCTCCTCCTCCTCCTCCTCCTCCTGTGGCCGGTGCTTTTGAACTTCTGGCGTGGGCCAGGATTCAAGCTGCCGGTGTGAGAGTGCGTGCCGGCCGTTTCTAGCCACCACGCTGCCCCCTTACCCCTCGGTCGCTTCGTCGTCGTTCTCCTCCTCCTCTTCCTCCTCCTCCTCCTCCTCCTCCTCCTCATCCTCTTCCGCCCCTCTCTCATCTCATGCTGTGTAGTATTGATTTGCGTGGCCGCGTAGGCCTCCCAATCGGAGCTCTTACTACACACTGTGTTTTCACCCGCCTGGACAAGGCTCTGGCAACCTCACTACCCAGCATGTTGCGAATGATCACCTTGCAGGCGGGGCGCATCACTTTACGTTTCCTCTGGCCTGCTGCCGGCGCAGGGGGGGGAATTCGTTACTTTTCGCGCGTTCGCTTTCTCTCTATCAGGCCACGGTTCACCTCATGAGTTTGCTTACTACAGGTTGGGTCGAGGGTTGCGCAGTTTTGTCTGGCGATTCTTTCAATGAATCGCATGGTAGTTGGAGAGTGTCCAGCGCGAAGTTCCTTTGTAGTTTGTTTGCGATGGGAAAATGGTAGGGGGCAGCTTGAAACAATTGTCCTGGCGAAGGCCCCACAGATGCAGTTGTGAGTGCCGCAACTGTGATTATAGTCATCGGTGGGTTTCCCCATGGGGCCACGAAACGCGCGAGGGGCAAGCCTAAATGGGGGTGGGGCGTGCGGCCGACATGCGCACGCTCCCTCTGGGGCCCTGGTGGAGTTCCCAATGGGGCCACGAAGCGTGTGAGGGGTGTGCGTGACGCACACATGCGAACGCTCCCTCTGGAACCTTCGGTGGAGCTCCCTATGGGCCACAAAGCGCGTCAAGGGTGTGCCGAAACGGGCATGGCGCCTCTGGGGCCTCCGGCGGAGCTCCCCATGAGGCCACGAAGCTCGTGAGTGGTGTGCCGAAACGGGCGTGACGCCCACATGCAAACGCTCCCTCTGTGGCCTTCGGTGGAGCTCCCCATTGGGCCACGATGCGTAAGGGGTGTGCCGAAACGGGCGTGACGCCCACATGCGCACGCTCCTTCTGGGGTCTTCGGTAGAGCTGCTTATGGGGCAACGAAGCGTGTGCGGGATGTCCCGAAACGAGCGTGACGCCCACATGCGAACGCTCCCTCTGGGGCTTTCGGTGGAGCTCCTCATGGGGCCACGAAACGCGTGAGGGGCGTCCCGAGACGGGCGTGACGCCCGCATGCGAACGCTCCTTGAGGGGTGTGCCGAAATGGGCGTGACGACCACATGCGAACGCTCCCTCTGGGGCTTTCGGTGGAGCTCCCACTGAGGCCACGAAGCGTGTGAGGGGTGTGCCGAAATGGTTGACATGCGGAGGGCAGAGGCAGGGATGGGAGAAGAGAGGAGGGCCAGGAGGAGAGGCCAGAGAAGAGAGGAGGACGCAGGGCACTGTCTCTTCAAAACGAGGACCCAACACCATAGGCTGGCTGGGAAATTTACAGCTCTCACACATCATTTTTTTTTTTGTTCAAGCCGCCCCCCCTTGGGCGTGCGCTAGAATGCGTTTCCGTCTCCCCCATCCTTGGCCCTCCGTTCCTCCTCTCTCTCTCTCTCTCCTCTTTTTGGTCCCCCTCCTCTCCACGACTCACATCCCCCTCCTTCTGCTTCCCCTTCTCTGCTCCGCGTCCTCGACGTCGTCGCCGCCATCGCCGCGGTCGTCAGAACCGTCGCCCTCCCCCTACGCACTGCCGCCACCGCCGCCAATCGTCGTTCTTGCTCTCGCCGCCGCCGTCCTCCTCGGTGACGATGCGGCCGCCCGCGGCCAAGACAGCCCCCAGAGGCCCCCAAGACGATCGGAGAACGCCGCGAATCGCTGACAGAGGCGCTCGACCAGCACCAGATGGCCTCTCTGACGGCCCATCAGTCTTCCGAGATGCACCGAGGTGCCTCCAAGAGCACTCCCACGGGAGCCCCAATATCCAAGAAAGATTGAGTTCCCTCTGTGTTTTATCCAAGGGGCCGCCTAAGGCCCCGTCTGCCTGCGCCCTGTCTCCCTAATTAAAGCTGTGCGTAGCCCGCCTGGCTTTTAGCGGAAGAGGTTCGCTCTCGCCCCGCCGACCAAACAGTGTTTTATCAAAGGGGCTACAAACATTTGCCTTTCCGCCGCCCCCCCCCACGAGCCAAACAGGCCTCCAGTGCGGCCCAAGATGTCTCCAGGAGCCCTCCCACGAGGGCCCGCGCGCCCAAGGAGGCCTCCCAGAGGGCTCCAACAGCAGCACAGGTTCGGTCACGCGACAGGGTTCTCGCGTGACGACGACGACGATGGTGATTATGATGGTGATGATGACGATGATGGTGATGACGACGATGGTGATGAGGGCAATGATGGTCGTGCTGCTGATGTCGGTGACGACGATGGTGACGATCAGGACCTTGACAGCGATTCGGATGATACTTCCTTCTGCTCTTCGATGCAGCGGCCGCACTCGCTTGTGGACCCCCCTGCATGCGCGAAAACTCGAGCGCGCGCGATGGCTCTACACTCTCGAGAAGGTGTTCTCCCCACGCAGCGCGATGTTCCGAAGCAGAATTCCTGGCGCGCGCATGATGTTACAGTGCCGTTTTTAATACACGCTCCGCGTGCGGATCATGTATGAAACATGCAGGGATCTAGAATTAAAAACACCGATGAGTTCATGTGTGAATTTATTCATGCATTAATCATGCATTGAAAAGTCCTTGATTTTTTTTAAACTGCCCTGTAAGGGGCCGGGTTGGCCGGACGACTGCCCGGGAACTCTGCCGAGACACCCCATCTGCCCCGACGTGTCGCCACGCAGCCGGGCCACCCCTCTTGGGCCCCCCCCTCCCACCCCCCCCTCGCTGCTCCTCCTCCTCCTCCTCCTCCTCCTCCTCCTCCTCCTCCTCCTCGCCCTCCTCCTCCTATTCCTCCTCCTCCTCCCTCCTCCTCCTCCTCCTCCTCCTCCTCCTCCTCCTCCTCCTCTTCGCCCTCCTCCTCCTATTCCTCCTCCTATTCCTCCTCCTATTCCTCCTCCTCCTCCTCCTCCTCCTCCTCCTCCTCCTCCGCTCGTCCCCGCGGAGCCGACTCTTCCCCTCTTCCCTCCAGCTCCGTCCTCCCTCGTCGGTCCCCTATCAGTTCCAGAGGCTCCCAAAAAATGGGCGCCAGCACCCCCGAGGAGGGATCTCCGAAGCGGCCGGAGGGCGGTCCCGCGAGCGAAGCCAGTCGCCTTCGGCGAGTGGCCTCGCCCGCTCGGCCTGAACTCGAGGCGCGCTGGTCCAGGACTCCACCCTTTCCCGGCTCCCTCCAGCTCCTCCCTCGCGCTGTGCCCCCCCCCCCCCCCTGGCTCCCCCTCCCCCACCGCTCACTCCCCTCCTCAGGAGCAACGACAGGGGGGGATACATCGTCCCCCAATCGCCCATTGATCGCCGACAGGGGCCCGATAGCCTCAACCCGCCCAGGACGGTGCAGACTCACTATCGGGGGCCTCTGGCCGATCCAGCGGCGATCTATCGCCGATCCCAGATCGATGCTTCCCCCCCTTCTGCCAGTCCCCCCCCCCTCGTTGACCCTCGCCCCCCGAGCGGCCTGTGCCCGCCCCTGCCGCCCGCCGCCCCCGCCCAGAAGCGGAGACGGGAGCGCGCGGACGAGAGCGGCGGCGACGGCGTCCCAGCGCAGGGGGGCGCGGAGCGGCCAGCGGTGCCGCACCGAGCGGCCTCTTCGTCGTCGCCGTCGTCGAAGGCTTCGGAGGAAGGGAAGGAGGGAGGGGCGAGGACAAACGGGCCGAGAGGGAGGACGGGGGAGGGAGGGAGGGAGGGAGGGAGGAGGGGAGGGAGGGGAGGGGAGGGGAGGGGAGGGGAGGGGAGGGGAGGGGAGGCAGCTAGGTGCGCTCGCGTCATATCTGACGTCCTACCCCTCCCTCCCATCCCTTACCATGGCGCTGATTTTCTCTATCCGCGGACGCGTGTCGTAGCGGACCTGTGGCTCCGCGCGCGCGTGCGTAGTGGGTGGTGGTGCGCGTGCGTGCGTGCGCGCGTGTGTGCGTGGTGGTGGTGGTGGTGGTGGTGGTGGTGGTGGTGGTGGTGGTGCTGGTGGTGGTGCTGGTGGTGGTGCTGGTGGTGCTGGTGGTGCTGGTGCAGGTGGTGGTGGTGGTGGTGGTGGTGGTGCTGGTGGTGGTGGTGGTGGTGGTGGTGGTGGTGCTGGTGGTGGTGGTGGTGGTGTGTGTGTGTGTGTGTGTGTGTGCGTGTGTGCGCGTGTGTTAGGGCATGGCACGGGAAATGACGCCAGCGCGGCAGCGGGAGCACGAATCGAAACGGGCGGAAGCGCGGAAATGAGGCCAACGCTGCAGCGGGAGCACGATTCGGAACGAGCGGAAGCACGGAAATGAGGCCAGCGCTGCAGCAGGAGCACGATTGGGAACGAGCGGGGCCCGAAAATGAGGCCGGCGCCTCAGCGAGAGCAGCATTTTAGAAACAAACACAAGCGAAAACCCAACTCCGGGGAATCCTGTGTAAAAAAACAGTACGCGGGGGGGTGCCGAACATCTTCCGGACGCCATCAGGGGAAGTGGGAGAGTAGTATTCATATTGTGTAATTGTGGAGGGGAGGGGAGGGGAGGATGGGGGAGGGGAGCGGAGGGGAGGAGGAGGAGGAGGAGGAGGAGGGGGAGGAGGAGGAGGAGGAGGAGGAGGAGGAGGAGGAGGAGGAGGAGGAGGAGGAGGAGGAGGAGGAGGAGGAGTGGACCCAGCCTCGCCAAACCCCGCTGCATGGCGGCACAGGCGGCCGCACCGCACAGGAGCCGGCGGCGTCGCGGGAATCTCCAAGCAGGGAAACGAATATTGCGTGCACGAGCCAGAAGCACACAGAAAACGGAGCGCCAAACGGGGCGCAACGCATTGTCGAAACGGTTCGAACCTGGTCGGCGGTTGTGGGGTAGCTGAAGAACAGAGTTTTTGCATCTCCGCAGAAAGGAGATCCAAACTGCGCGGCAAGGCGCAGGCTGGGTCCGAAGCCGAGAGCAGAGTGAAATACTTGTCGCCGAAAACGAAGCACACACACACGGAACTCCGAGGTTGGAATAGATCGGTGGGGCGAACATCAATAAACAACGAGAGGCGAAGGCCACCAGAACACATCGAACCGTCGATCCTGAGAACGGGGCCTTCTTGGCGGGCGTGGAGGAGGCAGGGCCGCCTCCGCGGCCCGACCGGCTCGATGGTGCGTGCGGGCGCCTGGGCACGGCACCGCTCGATTGGACCCTGCACCCCCCAGGGGGAGCGGAGTGACCCCCCTTCCGTCGAAGGAGAGCAAGGAGGAGGAGGAGGAGGAGGAGGAGGAGAGGAGGGGGAAGAGGGAGGAGAGGAGGAGGAGGGGAGGAGGAGGAGGAGGAGAGTGAGGGGGAGGATGAGGAGGATGATTATGATGAGGAGGAGGAGGAGGAGGAGGAGGAGGAGGAGGAGGAGGAGGATAACGAGGAGGAGGAGGAGGAGGAGGATGAGGAGGAGGAATCAGGAGGCTGCAGGCGCCTCCGTGCGCGCGGCGGTGAGTCTGCGCGTGCGCGGGCGCCCCGTTGTGGTGCGCGCGACGGCCCGCACCCGCTCACAAACTTTGGGAGATCCGCGTGGATTTCCTGCGCCGGGCGCTGGTCCCCCCTGGCGGCGCCTCCGGCGCCGCCCACGGCGCGCTCCGCGCGGCAGGAAGGGGGTCCAACGCAGATCAGATCCGCGCGGACCTCCGAGAAGTTATGTTTGTGCAGTTTGTTGTTCTTCCTCTTCTGGCTGGCCAGAGCATTTTCCTCCGCCAGCGAGTCGACGGCACCGTCGCGAGTGCTGGAGCGGGGCGAGATCAAACGTGACGTGTTGCACCCTGCATGAGGTGCAAGCGGAAACCGCTGGCCAGCGTGCGGCGGGATTGCTCGGCGAAACCAAATCGATCATGCAGGCGACTCGACCGATCTGCGATCAAGGGCACCCTGACTCGAGGGAACAACCACGATGACCATGAACAAGATGTCGCAGGATCTTGTCGACGCCAGTCTTGGTCGTGGTCCATACCAGCCGTCGCCGATCCGCGAGGATGATCTAGGAATCGACGATCACCTAGATGTAGCCAAGACCGGCACCGACGTTTCCGCGTTCAGGCGTGGCCATGGTCCTCGTTCTCTCTTTCTCCGAGGTGGGGAGTCATCCATACCCACCGCCTGGGGGATCGATCTTCGGGGACCTCGGCAGGCGGAGGATCCTGCCACGCTCGGCCCCCCCCCGGGGGCGGAAAAATATGCCCGCGGCGCCCCAGGACGTCGGCTTCCCAGGCAGCGGACGTGTGCAAGCCCTCGCCTCGCATCTTCCCCTCCATGGGGCGCGGGGGACAGCCACAGAGGAGGAGGAGGAGGAGGAGGAGGAGGAGGAGGGAGGAGGAGGAGGAGGAGGAGGAGGAGGAGGAGGAGGAGAGGAGGAGAGGAGGAGGGAGGAGGAGGAGGAGGAGGAGGAGGAGGGGGAGGAGGATGACGGGGTGTACAGAGAGGGAGGAGGAGGAGGAGGAGGAGGAGGAGAGGAGGAGGAGGAGGAGAGGGGAGGAAGGAGGAGGAGGAGGAGGTCTGCCCAGGGGTCGGTCGTCCTTCCCCTCCCTCCCCTCGGCCGCCGGGCGAGCCGCCAGCTCGGCGCGCGCGCGCCGCGGCGAGCCGCCGGCCCCACCAGCGGATGGCAGCTGCACGCCCGCACCGAGGCTGGCCGGGTTGATCCTGGGCTCAGGCCCCAGGAGGAGGAGGAGGAGGAGGAGGAGGAGGAGGAGGAGGAGGAGGAGGAGGGTGCAGCACGTGTCTCCACTGACGGCTGCGGCGGGGATGTCCGCCGCCCTGTCCTCGCGGGGGGGTCGCGCTCGCCCCCGGGCTTCCGCCTGCCGGACCGAGGCCCTGCCCGGGCTGCTCGAGGAGGGCGAGTACGAGGCCGGCCGCAGCTAGAGGTGGGGGAGCGGCAGCGCGGGAGGAGGAGGAGGAGGAGGAGGAGGAGGAGGAGGAGGAGGACGAGGAGGAAGACGAGGCGGAGGAGGAGGAGGAGGACGAGGAGGAGCAGGAGGAGAGAGGAAGACGAGGAGATGGAGGAGAACGTGGAGGGGGAGGAGAAGGAGAAGGGAAGAGGAGGAGGACCAGTGTAAACCCAAGACCTGTCAACGATAGCGAGAAACCCTTCCTCCAAGGTACCTCTTCATAGACCCTCTGCAAGGAAGCATTTTCACTGGAAGACAATCGTTTGACAATCTTACAATGTGCCAGAACACCATTCCTGGGGCTTCGACGCCGCGAATCACTGTTACTGCTACGTTGTGAAGATCCTGAACCGTGCCAGAACACAATTCCTGGGACTTCAGCACCGCGACAGTCCGACATGGGGCAAAACACCAATTCTCGGATGTCGATCGTCAGAATCCTTGCAACTGCTGTGAAGTCTGAAGGAGAGTGTGCGCGGCGCTGAGGCGAGCGCCACTTTTTGAAAAAGAGCCGCCCTCCATCCGTTACGCTTCTGCGTATGTGACGACGAATGTGCGTGGCGCTATGGCGAGATCCCGGGCCCGCACTCCATCCGTGAAGCTCTTCGCCATTCTTTGCCAATGTTCACGACGAGTGCGCTCGGCGCTAAGGAGAAAACTGCATTTTGAAAACGGCATGCCCTCTATCCGAGAAGCTCTTGCAAGCTCTCTGCTTAAGAATCATGCGTGGTGGGGGATTCTCAGGCGAAACGCCCGGCCCGCCCTACCGACAAGCCTTGGGGTGCGACATGGAAGAGTTACTTATACGGACAAGGGATAAAAATGAGGAGGAGGAGGAGGAGGAGGAGGAGGAGGAGGAGAGGAGGATGAAGAAGGAGAGGAGGAGGGAGAGGAGGGGGAGATGGGGAGGGGGGAACCTCTTCGTTCTTGTTCCGTCACCCTTTCCGATCTTTTTTCCCATCCTCCTTTTTCCCCTTTTTCCCCCCTCGGTCCTGGCTCGAGAGCACCCATGCTCAGGGCGAGCCGTTCCACGTGCCCCCTCCCTGCATCCGACTACACCTTGGAAGACTGGAGCCGCGCCACTCAGCGCGGGACGGATACGTGTCCCACCGCTTTCCTCTCCAGAATCCGCGCGCGCCATGGCTCCGAAAGGTTCTCCCCGCGCGCCTCCTGCACCAAGGCAGCCCAAGCCACCAGGCGAGGGCTGCCAAAAGACCCCTTGGCCCGAGAGGAACCTGGCTCAAAAAGAAGTCTGTGTCGCTGCACGCCAGGGCGGGGGCGGCGTCGACGGAGCAGTCGCTGCGTAATTGCATCGATTTCGCTCACAAACACAAGCTGACCTCGATACCATCTGCCAACAGCACCGCTCCGACCATCGAAAACTCAGGGGCGAGCTAATAATACGGTGCAGGGATGCTGCGTCATTCCTTCACACGCAAACGGCCACAGACCGTGGCACCGCACCAGCGAGTGCCACGGTCGAAGGCGAAGCCCACCAGGGCAACGACACGGCACCTTTCATCAGCCTCGATGCAGAGAACTGAGATGCCCCAGTCGCCACAGCGCTCGAAAGGGACGGTGAGACCATGTCATGCACCAGCAGCATGTCATTCCACGCGCTAGAGGAAGACGATCGCCTGCCCCAGCAAATCCGCACGAAGGACAAATCCTGTAGCCCCCGCAGTTCTGGGGCCCATCAACACGGACTACCCCGCCAGGAACTATTCATCCCAGTGTTGCAGCGCGCGGTGAAGGATAGCAATCCCCCGCCAGGCCACATCCAAGGCACCATCTACCAACTCGTTTGTGAAGAGGTCTAGTGCCTCCAGAAAGTTGCGCAAGTCAAACTCGACCCAGCCGAAGGCGTCGTCTGGAACCGAGCCGCCTTTTATGAAGCAGACGCCATCACTGTTGCGCCAGCATTCGAGGAGCCAGTCGCAGCCCAATTTTCAGGTGCCGAACCACTCGACGGCGGCCGCTATTCATGCGCGCTGCGCACGGCGCGTCTAAAGGCAACAGGGCGCCACATATCAGCCAAGAAGGATGCTGCGCGCATCTGCGCGACGACCTCGGCGGCGCCTTCGCAGCCGATGGCGCGCCCCACTTCCGTGCCGTGCAAGTCCAGGAAGACATGGGGTTCCTGAGGCGCCGTGGCGCAGTTGCCGGGAAACGCGAGCTCGCGCCTTCCTTCGGCTTCCAGCCGGCCGGCGCCCCATGGTCATCTCGGCCCCGGGCCGCGGAAGCCCCCCATTCGACGTCGGCCCCCGCGGCTCCGTAGAGCTCCGAGCCAGCGATTACACCGTCGCGCGGCGCGCTGACGGCCGCTGCGCCATGCCCCTGCAAGCCCGCCAGGTCTCCGCCGAGCACGGCGTTTTTCGGAGCGGCAAGGGCTGGCAAGATACTCGACATCGGGGCTAAATCGGGCACTCGCGAGGCGAATCACGCGGCTCTCGAACTGCGCGGCGCCGACGCTGCGCGCGCAGGTGCCGAGCGCCGCGTCGCGGGGCGCGAACCGCAGAGCGCTGCCAAGACGCCAGTCACGAGGGCGCCCGCGCCCATCAAATGGCGCTGCGAGGTGCAGCGCGCAGGTTGGGGCAAAGCCGCCATGAGTGACTCAGCAGTGGTCGTCGCGGCCAGTCCCCCGCCGCGCTCCGCGACCCGCGCGCGCGGGCCCGCCGCCGCGCGGGCCCCTGGCCAAGGCGGGCCAGCCGAAAGGTCCCGCTGCCGCGACTGCCTCACCAGAGACCGTCGCGAAGGAGATGCCCCCGCAGAGAGCGGGCGACCCGGCCCCTTCCTGCAGGGCGGGGCGATCGCCGGCTCCCGCCTGCGAGCCCTGCCCAAGTCGCGAGCGAGCCCGGAAGGCCCGCCTCCGCCGAGCACCCTGCCACCAGGGAAAAGCAGCGCAGCGCTGGCGAGCCAGGCGCTTCAAACGAGCTGGCAGCGTCGATGAACTAGTATTTTCACCGGCGACAGCCACCTGGCCGTGGAGGACGCGGCAGGCGGAGCCGACGGAATCGATGGCAGCGACGCCCTGCCCCGGGGGGTCCACCGCGCGCTGGTCTGGTCAAACAGACAGCGCCACAATCGAGCTGCCAACAGTTGAGTACGCTTGTTCGCTATGGGGGACGGGCGCGATGCCTGGCGGTTTCAACGCGGGCAACCTCCAAGCGGCCATTCGCCGTTGCCAAACCTGAGGCGCGCCGCGACGCGCGCCAGGCCTCGGCATTAGACCGGGCGCCCACGACGTCGCAGTCAGCCCTGGACTGCCCCCTCCTTGGGCCCACCGCGCCGACGCGCTATCCTCAAGGAGGGCGATGAAAGGTGGGGCCGCGCCCGGCCGCCAGGCGCAGGGCAGCCTCGTCGCCCCGGCCGCCCCAGGAGAGCGACGGCCCTCTGGCCCGCGCCCAAGGTTGAGCCAGAACGCGTTCTTTTCATTGCAGGAGGCGCCGCCATGTTCTGCGCGGGCGACATCGTCGCTGACGGCCGTCGGTCCACTCGGTGTTTCCGGCGCCCTGCGCGTTCGCAGTTGCAGCGGTGTCAGTGGAAGAACGGTGGGCCGTGGCGTTTACACAAACGTGTCATTCGTTGCTAAAATGCACCATGGGGGCATCGACAGGTGGGCGGACGTCGAGCTCGCTCAGGGCGGCGCCGCCCAGTTCGCAGTCGCCCACTATTGACGTCCAAGCGGGCTCAGGCAGCGCGAGTGGAATTGCCAATTTTTTTTTTGCCGCGTCGCCCCCCCACGCTGGGCAACGATGGGGCGCCTGCCAGGAGATGAAGCCAGGCCGAGGTGGATGCAAGCGGCTGCGCCAGTCTTTCGGAGCGAGCGCAGGAGCAGGTACAGGACCGAGTCCAGGTCCAGAAGCCGACCACGAGCGCCAGCGCGGACCCCCCCCATCCTGCAAGCGACTTCCAAGGGCCGACGCCCGCCCCGCGGCAAGTGGGCCACGCGACAGGGCGGGGCGCAGATGTCAACGGCCGCGTCGGCGTGGGAGCTGGCCCCAGGTCAATCTCACCCCCAGAGAAGCCAGGGGGCATCGAGAACAGCTGGAGCAAGCAGGGCCCGCTCGGGCACCAGCTGGCCCCGCAATGCGAGACCGCCAATTGCGCCGCCAGCGGGGGCTCAGTTCAGCGCCAAGCGGCTGGCGCGCCGCACAGAGCGTCTCCCGGAGCCAAAGCTGGGCCGCCAAGGGCTGGCATCGCGCCCAGGCTCCACAGGCCCAACCCCAATGTGGATGGCCGGCTCGCGCCGATGCCCGCGGTTTTTCCTGTCCAGCGTTCCCGCCGCGAGAGGCGGGCCCAGCGGCCTCGCAGAAATCAGCGGGCCAAGGCGGCGCCAGCCATGGCCCGCCGCGGCTCGGGATCTGCGGCCAGGGCGACAACCCGAAGCGGGGCGGCTCCCCGACGCGAAGGTCTGCGCCGGAACGAGGTCCCATTGCTCCACCTTGCGAAGCGCTCAGCTTTGCCGCCCAAGCGAGCATGCAGAAATTCTCACGCGCGGGGCACCAGGACAGGCGGAAGCCGCATTGTTCCACCGCGCAAGGCGCCCAGCTCCGCCGGCCACGCACGGGGGAATCAATTCAACGCGCGGGGCGCTCCCGTGCGCGACGCCCGTGCCGTGGCTACTGCCAGGGCCTGTTTCTCAGGACCAAGCGTGCCCTGGGCGCCGGCGGGGCCGCCAGCGACGGCTAACCCCGCGTCGCCAGGCTCAGGGTCGCCAGGCTCAGGGTCGCTAGGCTCAGGGCCGCCAGGCTCCGGGCCACCTTGCATGGCGGCGAGGGGCGCGACGGCCACTGAAACCGACCGCGACGGTTCGAGCTCACCAGAGCTCATGGAACAAAGCGCCAGCGCAGGTCAGCGTGATTGCTTCCGACTCAGGCCCTGACTTTGGTCCAGACGTCGATTGCGCCCGCTTTATGCGAAACGACCTCGTCGACGGCGTCGACAACCAACTGGGCGAGACGGACAGTGGGGCTCTGGCCGAGTCAGGCTCGGGCGCGGGATCTGCTGCGGCCGCCGCGTCCGCGCGCGGGCGCAGGCGCGGCGATCCCGCGCGCGATGATGACGGTGGCGGCGGCTCCTCCACCCTCGCGCCATCTCCTGCCTCCACTGCCGTGTCGGTCGTCGCCGCCGCCGCGTCGCCCCCCTCTTCGCCCTCCAGGCTGTCGCCGGGATTTGGTCTAGGGAGTGCGGTGCGGGGGATGTTTTCCTTTTCCGCCTGGCGCGATTTTCGGGCGCCCTCGGCTCGCGGGGCAGCCTGGGCGCATGCCCCGCTCAGCAGACCAGCGCCGACCCAACTCGTTAGACCCAGCGCAAGACTAGAGGCGACCCTATCTCCGCTGACGGCGATGGGCCTCAGCTGACCCACCCCGCCGCGCAGGTTGCGCGATCAAGGAGAAGAAACTCAGGAACGCACCGTCTAGAGAGGCCACTGCCGAGCAACACAGGCAGGATACCCCGCCGCGTGCCAGCCGCCGTGGCCTCCCGGAAGAGGACCCGCACCCTGCTCGCCCTGCTCGACCTTCAGGCCGGTCTGGCGGAGGCCGCGGCCCTGGCCCGGACAGTCTCATGGGAACGCCGATGACGACGACTACCAAGAATTCACCGACGAATTCGACGTCGGGTGGGTCTACGCCGCCACCGACGGTGCATGTTCTGGCCGAGCCCGCGCCCTCCTGGCCAGGGCCGGCCTCGGGCTGTACTACGGACCGGACCTCCAGCTCAGCCACCCCGCGCGAGTGCGCGGCCTCGCCCAGTCCGCGCGACGTGCCGAAACTCTCGCCGTGCTACACCTCGTGGCCGCTGCCGAACGGCCTGTGCGCGTCTCCGTGGACAATTGAGCTGCGGTGGAAGGGCGCGAAGACGTTGTCTGCGGCGAACAGACCCAGCGCGTCGGACCGCAAGCGGACCTCTGGCAAAGGACCCATCGGGCGCTTCAAGCCGAGAAAAGCAAGGTATTGGCGATGGCCGCAGCACGCCCGTTGCGGAAACTTTCAACCGACATGCCGACGGACTGGCTACAGCGGGGGTTAGGTTACTCAGCGGCCCACAAGATGTCTCCGACGCTGCCTGATGGTGCCGCAAGTTCGGCGCAGTCCTGCATGCACGCCGCGGCCTTCGCCATCTACGATCAACGGCGCCGCGCGCCCCCGCTGGGCCACCTCCCGCGGCGGAACCGCCGGGCCCCGATTGCCTCGGCGACCTCTACGACCCCTGGCTTCAGCACGCGTGCGATTTCGCCGCTGGCGACCTCGACCCTCTTGGTCTGGGGACCCCCTCAACGGCGAAGATCGTTGTGCCCACCCAAAGACGCAGACCCCACTCTGAAAACGTCAGCACTTCCGATGGACACACAGGCGGAAGTGGTACCGTCCTGCCCCATTTGGGAGAGGACTCGCGCGTGGCAGGTGAAGGGTCGCGGTCTGCATCCCGCTCGGGGCCAGCGCCGCCGCCCCAAACCGCTGGCCAGGCCAGCGCCACAGCTCACCCATCCCCGCAATGCAGTGCTTCCTGCCATCAGGACCCCCCGGGCCCCGCCAGGGAACGGGGGCCAAGGGCCTTGATATCGCCCACCAGGGCGCTGGCAACCGATTGACCACGGAACACTGACCGGAGGAACGCCCGCACCCAGCCCTTCACTGCCAGCGTTCGAGCATTCAACCAGCGCGTCAACGAGCTGGTCACTTCCTTGCACCAGATACAGGAATAGTTTGTACCAGTGATAGAGTTGTTCCATCGTGCCTCAGAGGCCTGGACTCTTACACAACGGGCTTTCCGCCCCGATGCGACCAAAGGCACCGCCTTCCAGGGATATTTCCAGGCCCCTTTAAAGGGTCTTCGCGCCAGTGCTAGCCCCCAGACTCAAGGACCGCGTGAACAGTTGGCATTTGTTCTTTTGTTTGCCCGTTCTGGGCCACCCAGGGCAGGGCGGCGCCTCTCTTCGCAGGGCGCCGAGGCGCACATGGCATCCCACGCTTAGAGCCGGCGCCTCTTTGCGCACAGTGGCGCAGACGGGCCCCCACGGGGTTTGATCACCGCCGTTCGTAAGCGGCGGGCCCTGATGTCCGCGCCAGGGGGGAGGTCATCCCACCACCCCTGTTGAGTTTGCGGCGCCTTCCGCTTTGCGAGGCGGGTCCGCTCGGCTTGCGCGAGGTCTCGGACGTTGACGTGGTCCAGGGTGGTGCGTTCTCTCCTTCCCTTTTCCGCCCCCTCCACAATTACTCAATATGAATACTACTCTCCCTCTTCCCCTGATGACGTGGTGGGAGTGTTCGCCCCATCCCCGCGTCCTTTTTTTAACGCATGATTCCCGGGAGTTTGGTTTTCGCCTGCATTTGTTTTCAAAATGCTGCTCTCGCTGAGGCGCCGGCCTCATTTTCGGGCCCCGCTCGTTCCGAATCGTGTTCCCGCTGCAGCGTGGGTCTCATTTTCGGATCGGTGTTTTGCCTCCGTCGTTCAGGATGGCGTTCTCGCCCCAGCGCGGGCCTCTTTCTCGCGTGCCCATCCGCCCGCCACCACCGCACCGCGCCCCGCCCCGCCCAATGCCACTTCCACCCACCAACGCACGAACGCACGCACGCACGCGCACCGCCACCACCACCCCACTACCCCACCCACCACCACCATGCTACACCGCGTCACACCACGTCACACGCGCGCGCACACAGACACACGCACGCACACACACACACACATACACACGCACACACACACACACACGCACACACACACCACCACCACCGCCACCACCACCACCACCGCCATCACGCACGCACGCACCTGGCCCACCACCAAACCACCAAGACGCCACACCACGTCACACCACAGCACACGCGCACACACCCACCCACCCACCACCACCACCACCACCACCACCACCATCACCACCACCACCACAACCACAACCACAGCCACAATCACAACCACAACCACAACCACGCACACACGCACGCACGCACGCGCACCACCACCCACTACGCACGCGCGCGCGGAGCCACCGGTCCGCTACGACACGCGTCCGCGGATAGAGAAAATCAGCGCCATGGTAAGGGATGAGAGGGAGGGGTAGGACGTCAGATATGACGCGAGCGCACATAGCTTGCCCCCTCCCTTCCCCTCCTCCCCCTCCTCGCCCTCCTCCCCCTTCCCTCCCACGCGGCTGTCAAAGGCCGTTCGGCCCGTCTCTGCGGCAAGGTGCAGCATCCCTCCGCATCATCGATGCCCCCTCGTACACTGCACGAGCAGGAGCTTCAGCGCTGGCTCGTCCCGCTTGATCCCGCGAGCTCCGGCAGGCGGCGCCCCTCTGCGCCTACCGGCTGTTCGCGCCCTGCGCCAAGCACGGCCGCAAGGAGGGCACGGCGCGGCGCTGGGCGGAGCCGTCCCGCCGCCGGGTGGCGAAATGTGAGGGGGGGGAGAGGGGGAGGGGGGGGGGAGAAGGAGGGAGGAGGGAGGAGGAAAGACTCGTCAACGACGTTGCAGCACACCCTCCCTCGAGTTCCCCTCTCATGGTAAGCCTCTGCGGGCGTGCACTTTCATGGAGGGAAGTGCCCACATGAACGACAGCCGTTTGAAAATCCGGATCTGCGCCAGATCACCATTCTTGGGACTTCAGCTCCGCGAGTCACCGTGACTGTTGCGTCTTGACGATAATGAAACGTGCCAGAACGCTATTCCTGGGATTTCAACATCGCGAATCAACGTGACTGGTGCGCCCTGTCATTCCGACGTCGTGCCTGAACATCATTTTCGGGGCGTTAACCATGAGAATTCCTCAAGCACTTGCGAACTATTACGACGAATGTTCACGGCGCTGAGGCGAGAACCATGTTTTGAAAAGGAGCCGCCCTCCATCCGTAAGCACTTGCGAATGTTTAGACGAGTGTACGCGGCACGACCACAGCCGCATTTCGAAAATGGACCGCCCTCCATCAGTGAAGCTCAATTGTGTCAGACGAGTTTACCAGGCGCTCAGGCCAGAGCCACATCTTGAAAACGGCCCGCCCTCCATCCGTCAAGCTCCTTGCAATTTCGTAGGGCGAGCGTGCGCGACGCTGCGGCGAAAGCCGCACCTTGAAAACGGCCCGCCCTCCATCCGTGAAGCCCTTGCATGGTTTGAGACGAGTGCGCGCGGCGCTAGGGCGAGAACCCCATTTTGACCGCGAGCCGCCCTCCATCCTCAAAGCTTTGGAGCATGTCTGAGAGGAGCGTGCGGGGCGCCACGGCGAGAGCTACACTTCGTCCGTGAATCCCCTGCAGAATCTGAGCTTCAGGATCGTAGATGATGCGGAGGTCTCGGGCGAAACGCTCGGCCCGACCTTTCGATCGGCCTCGGGGTGCAACAGGGAAAGGGAGAGGGATGAAGGACAAGGGAGGGAGATGAGGAGGGATGAGGGAGGAGGAAGGCACAGGATGAGGAGAACAAGGAGAAATAAGTAGTAGGAGGGAGGCGATAGGAGGGGTGGGCGACGGGGAAGGAGGGTGAAGAGGCGATGTCGCCAGGCTTCGAGTCGGAACTGCCACTGGCTTCGAGGTTTCGAGGAGGAAGAAAATAAAGGGACAGAAAATTAAGGAGGGAGGGGGGGGGGCGGGTGGATGAGGAGGATGCGGGGCAAGAGGCGGCGAGGAGGAGGTGGAGGCATTTTGTTCCTTCCTGGTTTTTTCTTGCTCCTCCATGGGGGGGCCCTCGTCGCCACGGCTGAGGGGTTCAGCGCTCCAGGACAGGTCCAGGGGTAGATTTTGATGGAGGGGGTGGGGAGGAGGCAGCGGAGGAGGAGGGTGAAGAAGAGGAGGAGGAGGAGGAGGAGGAGGAGGAGGAGGGGAAGATGAACCAGAGTGAACCCAAGATGCATCAGCAGAAGAAGCGCCCCGCTCGAAAGATCAGCACCGGACGGGCCTGCCATTTTGACGAGGGCCTCGTCTGGAAGAGCAGTTGCCTTGGCATCTTTCCGGCGCGCAATCGGGACTGCGAGAGACTGTGATCATGCAGCTCAGCGAGGTGTCCTGCGATACCCCCTCTGGAAGAAGGGCCGCCCCCCACCCGTGTGACCGTTGCACAAGGTTGCACGCGTGGTCATGCGCTTCGAGGAGGCGCCAAGCAACACCCGTAGTCGGGAAAGGGGTCGCCCTCGATCCGTGCTGTGCTGCACGTGTTGAACTTCCTGGTCGTTCGATCAAGAGAGTGCCAAGCCGTAGCCCCATCTTGAACAGATCCGCCCTCGATCCTTCTCAGTGCTGCAAGTTTCTAGAACGAGCGTGCGCGGACGACCCCCATCCATCCTGGCAGCTGTTGCAATTTTTAAGACGAATGTTCGCGGCTCTGGGCCGAGAGCCAAACTCTAGACGCTGCGCGTAACCACATCAGTATGGCCTTCATCCTGGCCTTCAGCGGCTTCGGTGTGTACCACCTAGTCTTCTGCGTCCGTTTCGCCCCCTGAGTGACAGCGTAGCCCGCTCCTGTCGCTTAGGGCCTTATTTAGCCCGCTGCTCGTTAGCTGCGCGTTGATTTGACGCCGAGCGATGTGTCGCTGCGGTCGCGACCAAAAACAAATATCCACGTCAGCTCATTCAGAAACGATGCCCAGACGAGTTGCCTTGACCAGGGATGTGGAGAAGCATGCAGTGTAATAGAGGGCTAGGCGAGACGCCATACCCCAAGAGTGGGAGGATTGAGGAATCGGAGGACGACGGGGTCAGGGAGAAGAGGAGGCAGGAGGAGGGTGGAGGAAGATGAATATGTGGATGGTGAAGAGGCGGATGAGGAGGAGGAGGAGGAGGAGGAGGAGGAGGAGGAGGAGGAGGAGGAGGGGAGGAGGAAAAGGAAGGGAGGAGGAGGAGGAGGAGGAGGAGGAGGAGCAGAAAGGCCAGAGGCCTCTTGTATGCTTCTCGGGGTCTCTTCGGGTGTGCCCTGGCAGCTTTATGCAGGCCGCTCGGGGTGCCTTTGGGGCCTCTTGGCCATCCCGGGTGCCCCATTGATGCGTCTTGGGTGCCTCGGGCCTCGGGGGAGCCTCTTAGGGCCTCCCGGGGGTCTTGTCGGAGCCTCTCGGGGGCATTGTGGGTGCCTCCTGGGCGCCTCTTGGGGCCCTCTTGGGGCACTTTCGGGGGCCGCTTTTGGGCCATATCGAAGGGGGGCTGCCATATCAGCGTCCCCCCCCCGAAGGCCCAAATGGGCCAACAACCATCGTAACATCAATGATTCGCGTCTTCTCGCCGAGGCCATCCTGGACGCTCGAATGATCCGCGGACCTACCCCTCCAGACACAGGGGGAAGGGGTAGGGGTCAAGACTCCCTCCCCGCCCGCCAGCCGTCTCGCTTACTCCCACCCGCCCGCCCAACACATACGTAGAACCCGAGTTTGGCCCGACCGTCAGCATATTCAGCAGTCGTCTTTGGATGGGCAGCTACTGGGGGCCAATCCGCCGCCGCCGCCGCCGCTTCCGCCGCCGTCTCACGAGCCTCTTCGTGTGACGCCGAGTGCGAATCACCTGCCGCCGGAGTGCCGCGCCGCGCCGTGCCGCGTGCCCCCGCGCCGTGCCGTGCCTGGGCTTAGGAGTGCGAGCTTCTGGCTGGGGCAGTCTGTGCCGTGCCTGGGCTCTCGAGCGCGAGTGTCGTGGCGTGCCGTGCCGTGCGCAGGCTTCAGAGTGCGAAGATTTGCCGTGCCGTGCCGTGCCCGCGTGCGGTGCCGTGCCGTGCCCAAGTGGCAGAGAGCGAGGAGGGTGCCTTGCCGTGCCGTGCCCGCGTGGTGTGCCTGTGTTCTAGAAGGCGGAGAGAACCTGTCGTGCCGTGCCGTCCCCGCGTGCCGCGCTCGCGTGCGTCCCGTGCCCGAGTCTTCGAGGCGAGGAGGGGACGTGTGCCGTGAGGTGTGGTGCCCGCGTGCCGTTTCGCGCTCGAGTTCCCTGAGGGGGCGAGACATGTGCGCCCTGCCGTCCGCGTGCCATGCGCGTGCCGTGCCGTGCCGTCCGCGTGCCCTGCCGCGCGCGCGCCGCATGCCGCGCCTGCGCTCCAGGCTGCGAAAGAGGCGCCGCGCCTGCGCGCGCCGCGCCCGCGCAGCGTGCTCGGCGCACCGTGCCCAGGCGCCGTGGCGTGCGCGTGCCGTGCCCGTGCGCGTGCCGTGCCCGTGCGCCGTGCGCCGTGGCTGGCGTGCCGCGCCCGCGTGCCGTGCCGCGCGCCTTGGCGTGCCGCGCGCCTTGGCGTGCCCGGGGCTGGCAGTGCGAAGCGCGTGCGCCGTGCCCGCCCGCGTGCCGTGTTTTCGTGCGCGTGCCGTGGCTGGCGTGCAGTGCGGGCGCTCCAGGCTGCGAGCCACGTGCCGTGCCATGCCTCGTGCGCGCGCCGTGCCCGTGCCCGTGCCCGTGCTTGGCGTTCAGGCACCGTGGGCATTTGTCGTGCAGCGTTGTTGGTTCACGGTCTTCTCGTGCAGCGTTTTTGGGAGTTCGTCTTGGAGCAGGGTGAGTCTTCTTCCTCATTCCCTGCCACCGATGATCGCTTAACCATGCTTAACCCTGCTTCATTATCCACTCTGTTGAAAAGGACCGTGTTCCAGTCCTGTGAGCCCCATTTTTCCTCAAAAGGCTCCCGAGAGTCCCAGAGGCCATCGAAGTGCTCCCCTTGGGGGCTCTGGGGCCTGGGGGGCCTCACGAAACGGACAACGCGATTTGTTTTGTTGCGGGGGGGGGGACGCGCGCTTCAGAGGATGCCTTACGCCGGCTTCCTTTTGGGGCAAGTCTTGGGCCTGGGGGGGGGGCCGTTTATGGGCGGGCAGGGAGACCCCGCCCAGGTCCTGCGTGGCGCAGCTGGGGCGCCTGTGGATCCAGACGCCGCCCGCCGGCACGAACGGCGAGCTCATCGAGGATGCGCCGCCCCACGGGCAGCGCGAGGGGCGCGGGCGTGCAGCGCACCCCGCCAGCCCGCTCCCCACTCCCCGCCCGACGGTCCCCCCGGCCGCCTCCCGGTGCTGCTGCTGCGGCCGGCCCTGATGAGTAGGCCGACCACGCCAAGTCGAGGGTGCCCCTGTGTCCTGTCGATCCCGACCCGTGCAACCCGCGTGCCCTTTGGTGCTCCGGGGCCACGCTGCCGTCGGAAGAGTCCTGTGTCCTCTCGGGTGGCCTGTGCAACCAAGCCCGACTGTGTCCTGCATCCCTCCTCCGCGCAGCCGCCGCTTCGGCGCCGAGGGTTGTCGCGCCCCGCGCGAGCGGGGTGGCCCGATTGTCCCCGCGCCGGTCGAGAGAGAGAGAGAGGGCTGCCCGCGCGGCACCCCAGGGCTGGCGTGCGCGCTGAGCGCGCGCAGGGCCCTTCTGCGGAGCGGCTGCGGCAGGCGCGGCCGCGGCAGAGGCTGCGCGGGTGCCGTGGCGGGCTCGTCGGCGGCGGGGGCCGCGGCGTCGCGGCGCTGCTCGGGGCAGCGGCGCGAGGAGGGCCCCGCGCCCTGGGCGCGGCGGCGAGCCCACGGCCCGCCGCCCACGCCCGGAGTGAGCTCTCCGGCAGAGGCCACGAGAAGGCCTGGCACGCCGACAGAAGGCCCGCAAGTACAGTCGGGGCGCTGAAGAAGGAACCTTTTGCTTTGGGGAGGGGCTCCGTGTCCCTTGATTGCTTCACAGTTTACCTTAGGTTTTCCGTAGGTTTTCGATGGGAAGCCGAAGCTCAACCTACGGAAAACAGGGGCCTCGCTCCTTATGTAAGGTTCCTTAGGTCAATGCCCCGACTGTATGGGCGCAGGGCGACGGCCGGTCCCAGTGGGCGTTGGGCGCACGTCGCCGCAGCCGAGGGCCCGCACGTCCTCGAGGCTCGCTGAGGAGGTGCTGTACGATGCGATCGGCCCGACGATCCCAGGGGAGGCGGCTGATGACCAAGAGGCCCCAGCCTTCGCGTAGCAGAACTTGGAGCTCAGGGAGGTGCAGGTCTACGTATCTACCTGTGCAGGTCTAGGTATCTACCTACGACGACGGCGTCGCGTCGGAATCCGTGCTCGCCGCAGAGGGTGAGACCGGGTGCAATCCTGCGTAGCATTGTCCAAGGACGTGTTCGCCGAAGACAGCAAAAAGAGGAGTGGAGGAGCATCGGAAAGACTTGCCGGCCATGGCAAGCACGAGTCCAAAGCGACGCTGACGGAGAGCGCGGGCCAGAGCACTGCGTGGAAGTGCGCAGGGGCAGGAGCGTACGACGACGAGTACGGTTCCGAGCAGTGCCGCCAGTGGTGCACGGGTTGAGGCAGGCCGCCGACGGCCAGATCTGTGCGCCTGACAGCCCTGGTCCGAGCTCGCGGCGAGCGCGGATCCCAGCAGCGCGTCGAGGTGCCCCGAGTCGGGATCGGGTACGACCGCGAGCGTGGATCCGAAACAGTCGGCCCGGATTAGTAGGTCGACCCTGCCAAATCAAGGGTACCTTTGTGTCCCGTGTCTCGCGACCCGTGCCTCCTGCATTCCTACGGCAGGGTGGCCCTCGGAAGGGTCTCTTGTCCTCTCGCGTGTCCTGTCCAACGAAGTCCGGCTGAAGCGCCGCCGACGGCGAGGACGAGCAGTGAGTCGGAGTTGCCCCTGCGGCGAAGCAAGGTCGCGTTCGCGCGCGTCGTCGGTGGGGAGCCTGGGGCCGAGCGAGGAGCGCCGGCGCGCCAGGGGGCGAGCCGCCAGGCGACAGCCGCTGCCAGTCCAGGCGCGACGCGGGCAGGGAGTGCGCATCCAGGCAAGAGCACTGCCTGGACACCACGCCGACGAGTCCGAAGTGCCAGAGACGCCAGAAGGACCAGACTCAGAAGCGATGAGAGGCAAGCAGGCCGCTCCGCGGCTTGCCTGCTCCAGAAGGAGCAAGCCGCTGTGAGTGGCTTGCTTGATTCTCATCGCTTCTGCACGTCCAGCCCTCTTCTTCTCCTTGTTCGGCCCCTCCCCCTTCGCCTCCCCGTACGCCTTCGACTCGCCATCCCACTTCATTTCCCTTTCTCGTCCTCCTCCCTCCCCATCTCTGGATGTCGTCTCGAAGCATGGAGGGGTGGGAAGGAGTGAGGAGGAGGAATCGGGATGAAGTAGGTTATGCGGTGTTCAACCATGGGCGCCTTGTTAAACTCCACCGCCCAGCTTTCGCGCGGAAGACCGCCACATACCAGCGATTACCGCCGAAGACCGCCGATGGTCGCCGAAAGTCAGCCGACTACCGACGAGGGCTGATGTGTACCAACGCTTCCGTGTTTGAGCGAATCATTGCGGGAGCTTGGGAAGCACCACCCATTAAGCCACTTTAACCCAACCCGAAGGCTCCAATTTGCCCTCCATTCCCAGCGGGGGGGGGAGGCGTCGGGAAACATTTGGAAAAACCACATGGAACCCGCACACCCCCAACGCGAACTTCGGGTCTGCGGGTGGGGTCGGGGTGGCCTGGGGGACAGTCAGGGGAGGACGGACGGGGAGGTCTGCTCTCGAGCTCTCTCGGGGGCAGCTGGGGATGGGGCCCGGGCAGCCGCTGGCAGCGGCTGCATTCGGTCATGAACCAGGAGGAGGAGCAGGAGGAGGAGGAGCAGGAGGAGGAGGAGGAGGAGGAGGAGGAGGAGGCGGGGGGGAGGAGGAGGAGGAGGATGAGGAGGAGTAGGATGAGAGGGGAGAAAGGAGGGGGAGGAGGAGGAGGTGTAGGGAGGGAGGAGGGTAGGAGGAGGAGGAGGAGGAGCGCACAGAGGAGCAGGAGGAGGAGGAGGAGGAGGAGGACGAGGAGGGGGCGGCAGCGTAGACAAAATTACCGTTCTGGCCCCGGGGCCCCCGCGCCCGCCGCGCTGGGACCCAGCGGGGGAGGCTGGCCCCAGGGCGCCGCCGCCACTGCAGCGTACACAGCAGCAGCCACCACGAGGTGGTCATGATGGGCTTGTTTTCCACCACCACCACCATAAATTGGAGGGGGAGGGGGTCCTCCTCCTCCTCCTCTTTCCCTCCTCCTCCTCCTCGTCCTCCCCCTCCTCCTCCCCCCTCCAACTTATGGTGGTGGTGGTGGTGGAAAACAGGCCCATCAGGTCATCCTTGTCGACCGCGTTATCCACGAGAAGGGCAACCACCTCCAGGTTATCCACGACCACCACCAGTACGATACCAGATACGCCCCCAAGGCCGACGTCAGGGATGACACGACCGAGCAGCCCGAAAGGGTTCATAACGTACGTCGTCGTGGGGGTACCCGTGGACAACGGCCGCGCCGCCTACGACGAGTGCGACCACGGCCGCACCTCATACTACCAGTATGGCTACGTCGGTTGTTTCGATAAGGACCTATATTCCTACGACCCCCAGGACGATTCTGGCCACCAAGACGTGGAACACTGCGACTTGGCAGCCGGCGACTACGGCGGCTCGGACCTCGGGGACTACCATGAGTGCATGCCATCTGATCTACTACAGCCACCAACAGAGCTACCATGGCTACCAGACGACCTTCGGGGACCACAAGCTAAGCAACGAGGACCTCCAGCTGAGCCACGAGAGGCACCAGGAGAGGTGCCAGGGCCAACCGTTGAGCTACAATAGCCACCAATACAGCTACAAGGGCAACCAGCTGAGCTACGAGGGCCACAGGCTGAAGTACAAGGACCACCAACAGGGCTACGAGGACCACAGCCTGGGCTCTGGGAGCCGCTGGCAGAGCTGTCCTGGCCAGCTGCTGAGCTGCGAGAGCTTCCGGCAGTTCTAGGAGGGCCACAGGTGAGTTACGAGGCCCTCTCACTTAGCCACGAGAGACACCAGGAAGGGTCACCCAGGGGGTTCTTTAGTTATAAGAGCCCCCCCCTTGTTTCATTCGGTTGGGAATCAGCTCGCCCCTCCTCCTCCCCCTCCTGCTCCTCCTTCTTCTCCTCCTTTTCCTCCTTCTCCCGTCCCTCCTTCGCCTTCTCTTCTTCCTCCTCCCCCTCCTCGTCCTCCTCGTCCTCTCCTCCTCCCCCCCTCCTCCTGCTGCTCCTGCTCCTGCTCCTCCTCCTCCTCCTCTTCCTTCTGCTCTTCCCCGTTCGTCGTCCTCGCCGTTTTCGTTGTCGCGGCGGATATGTGTGTCCTTCTATGCTTCGGCGGGCTGCATCATGTTGGGTTTTCTTCCCAGCGAATACTCCATTGTGGGCGACGTTTTCCGGCGAGGGGATGTGTGAACATTTTTTTCATGAGGACGGCAATCGCAATCAATGGTTGCGCTTTCATTCGTGGTTTGAACCGTGATTGCAATCGTGTTATGAGTCACGGTTTTGGTCGTAACCGCAGTCGTTATTGTAGTTTTAGTCGTAGTCGTAATTGCAGTCGTCGTCGTCGTCGTCGTCGTCGTTGTCGCCTTAGAGATTCTGTTTCCTCTATTATTGGGCGGGTTGGATAATGTTGGAAGTTATTTCCTCGCAGGGATGATCCGGTGTGGGCGACCCTATACGTGAGAGCGTGTGTGAGGATTTTATCATGAGTAATGCAATCGGAGTCCGAGGTTTCGGTTGTAGTCGTCATGGCAGTTGTTTGTTGTAATCGTGGATCCGAATCGCGATTGCAATCGTAATCGTAGTCGCGATTGTAATCGTAGTCGTAATCGTAGTTGCAATCGTAATCGTAATCGGAGTCGTCGTCGTCGTCGTCGTCGTCGTCGTCGTCGTCGTCGTCGTCGTCGTCGTTGTCGTTGTTGCGCGGCGGGGGGGGGCCTCGGGGAAATGGTTATTTTGATTCATCGGTGGGGCCGCAATTTGCCAACAAGGTCGCCGACATGAGAATTCGGTTTCGAGTGTTGGGGGGCAACAGCGCATATATTGCGAAGCCAAGGAACCACCAGCTGAGCGACACGGGCAACCAACCCAACTGCGATGGCCAAGGGCTGAATTACAAGGGCCACAAGAACGACCACGAGGGCCTTCGGGAACCAT